TTCAGGTCTGGTGGTGGTTAAAGGGACCCCTGACCATTAGGTCCAGTCGTGGCCGACTCTGGGGTTGCGGCGTTCATCTCGCTTTATTGGCCGAGGGAGCCAGCGTACAGCTTCTGGGTCATGTGGCCAGCCTGACTAAGCTGCTTCTGGCGAACCAGAGCAGCGCACAGAAACAGTGTTTACCTTCCCGCTGGAGCGGTACCTATTTATCTACTTGCACTTTGATGTGCTTTTGAACTGCTAGGTTGGCAGGAGCAGGAACCGAGCAACGGGAGCTCACCCCGTTGCGGGGACTCGAACCGCTGACCTTCTGATCGGCAAGTCCTAGGCTCTGTGGTTTAACCTGCCTCCCAGACTAGAACTTAGGCAACTGCTAACTCTGTCACAGCCATACATATTTAGATCTGCCTACCCTCCACCCCCCAAGCCCTAGACATTGTAGTTTTAACTCTCACAGAGCCACAGTTGCCATGATCTTTAACAACAACAACAACAACAACAACAACAACAACAACAACAACAAATTTTATTTATATCCCGCCCTCCCCAGCCGAAGCCGAGCTCAGGGCGGCTAACAACAATAAAAATAAAATAATACAACATTCTAGAATCATTTCATTAAAATTAATTCAACTCAAATTGATGGCAACCATTAGGATAAAATTCTATGAAGATTGCCAAAGGAGGGAGTCAGCCTGTGCCCTGGCCAAAGGCCTGGTGGAACAGCTCTGTCTTGCAGGCCCTGCAGAAAGATGTCAAGTCTCGCAGGGGCCTAGTCTCTTGTGACAGAGCGTTCCACCAGATTGGAGCCATAGCCGAAAAAGCTCTGGCTCTAGTTGAGGCCAGCCTAACCTCTCGGTGGCCTGGGACCTTCAGGATGTTTTTATTTGAAGACCGTAAGTTCCTCTGTGGGACATACCAGGAGAGGCGGTCCCGTAGGTACAAGGGTCCTAAGCCGTATAGGGCTTTAAAGGTTAAAACCAGCACCTTAAACCTGATCCTGTACCCCACCGGGAGCTAGTACAACTGGTATAGCACCGGGTGAATGTGATCTTGCAGTGAGGACCTTGTTAGGAGTCTCACCACGGCATTCTGCACCTGCTGGAGTTTCTGGGTCAGTCTCAAGGGCAGCCCCATGTAGAGCGAGTTACAATAACTTTAATGAAACTCCAGAGTTACAGTCTGGAGGTGACTGTCATGTGGATCACAGTGGCTAGGTCAGGGCGAGAGAGGTAAAGAGCCAACTGCTTAGCTTGGCGGAGATAAAAAAATGCCGCCTTTGTTGTAGCTGCAATCTGCGCCTCCATGGAAAGGGAGGTGTCGAAGATTACACCCAAACTCTTAACGGACAGTGCTGGCCCTAACTGCACCCCCGCAAGAGATGGGAGTTGTCCCCCCAATCCCATATCATCCCTTCCCAGCCAAAGGACCTCTGTCTTCGAATGATTTAGCTTCAACCGGCTCCCACGTACCCATCCAGCCACAGCTTCCAAACATCCGATCAGTGTGTCTGGGGCCGAGTCAGGATGGCCATCCATCAACAGATAGAGTTGGGTGTCATTAGCATACTGATGGCAGCCCAGCCCAAAACTCTGGACAAGCTGGGTGAGGGGGCACATAAAGATGTTGAAAAACATTGGGGAGAGTATCGCACCCTGAGGCACTCCACACACCAAGGAGTGGCGCGATGACAATTCCCCCCAAGCGCCACCCTCTGTCCCCGACCAGAGAGAAACGAGCACAGCCATTGAAGGACTATGCCCTGGATCCCCACGTCGGCAAGGCGGTGGTCCAGAAGTTCATGACCAACCATGTCGAAGGCTGCTGACAGATCTAAAAGAATCAGCAGCCCCGACCTACCTCGATCCAGCTGCCTGTGGAGATCAACTGTTAGGGCGACCAGAGCCGTCTTGGTCCCATGACCAGTGCAGAAGCCGGACTGGAATGGATCTAGAGCCGATGTTTCATCCAGAAACCCACCAAGCTGTTCAGCAACCGCTCTCTCAATCACCTTACCCAGGAATGGAAGATTCGAAACCGGGAGGTAATTGGATAGATCTAAAGGATCTAATGATGTTTTCTTTAAGAGCGGGCGCACCACTGCCTCCTTCAGTTCCCCCTGGGAATGTCCCAGTGCCAAGGGACAAATTGATGATATCCCCAGGGGGGCCCGCACCTCGTCTGGACACGCTCTAATCAGCCAAGACGGACACGGGTCGAGAGGACAGGTGGTGGGCTTTCCAGCTCAAAGGAGTCTGTCCACATTGGCTGGGGATATCCGGTCCCAATACTGGACCCAAGGACAGTCGAGGGGCCTCCAGTTCCTTTATTGTATCCAAATTGGCAGGGAGGTCATGGCGGAGCAACAGGACCTTCTCCACAAAAAAACTCGCAAATGCTTCACAGCTGTGTGTCAAATTATTATTTAAATTTGGCTGTCCCTCGAGAGATGTTAAAGACCTACCGTATTTTTCACTCTATAGGACGCACTTTTTCCCCTCCAAAAATGAAGGGGAAATGTGTGTGTGTACTATGGAGCGAACACAGGCTTTCGCTGAAGCCGGGAGAGTGAGAGGGGTCGGTGTGCACCCTCAGGGAAGGCCTGAAAGCCTTTGGAGCGCAGCGGGAACTCGGGTTGTGCTCCAAAGGCTTCGGGTTCCTTTTGCTGAAGCCGGGAGAGCTGCATCTTGAAGCGGGACTGGCGGGGTCTGCACAGCTTGCCTCTAGGCAGCTTGGCCGGCTGAGTGGGCTGAGGGAACTCCTCGGCTATGCAGACGAAGTTTGGCATCACCGCCTGGTAGCTCGAGCAGATGCCCATCAGCTCCGCGGGCTTGGCAGCGGCGGCAGCCATCATGCGGGGGTAAGAGAAAAGCAGCAAAAAAGGGAAAGCCGAGAAAGAGCGCGCGCGCCAGAAAACCAGCACCCCAAAGAGCGCCTCGCACTTTGGTCTCACTTTGTGCTGCTGCTTATTCTTCGCTGCCTTGAGGCATTTCTCTCTAATGCGAGGGAGACCCGGGCGAAAAAGGGGAAATGTGTGTGCGGAAAGCCGCCGGAGGTGGGGCGAGAGGGTGGCTTCTGCCGCTTCGCAGCCGAAAAAGCGTGCTGGGGAGGGAGGGCTGGTGGCGGCAACTGGCAGAAAGAAGCGCGCGCTCTGCTGGTGTCCCTGCGCCACGCTCTCTCTCTTTTTTAAAAAAGATATTTATTAAGGTTTTCAAATTTAATACAATCAAAAAGAATCAAAGAGAAAAAAGCAAAAAAGTTTAAAAACACATAAGGTTCACAATACTTATTTTTCAATAACATATTTCACTGACCTCCTCATACCTCCCCTTCTTGTATTCCAATTCAAATTGTTAGTTCAGCAAATCCTTATCCGTAATTTTAACCTATTTCTATACCCCTTCCCCCCCCCCCATATCGCATTACAGCTAAAAACCCCTTAATTTCTATCCGACATCATTCAACATTCATTAATTTTACAATATTTCTGTAAATAGTCCTTGAATTTCTTCCAATCTTCTTCCGCTGACTCGCCACACTCTCTCGCCTGCCGGCACAGGAGCATGCTCAGATGACAAGCAATGCCATTTAAAGGCGGTGAGGCCGCTTCCCTTCCGCCTGACGACGACGTAGACGCGCGCTCCCACCGCCCCTCTCCCTCACCGCCATGGGGGGATTGCTCTTCCAAGGAAAGCCCTGCCAGCACCCACCTCAGAAACGGCTGGGGAAGGGAGCGAAGGAACCCGGAAGGTGAGGTGGGGGGGGGGAGAGACGAGGAATGCGCCAAAACATGTCGCCCCTGCCTGCTGGGGGAGGGGGGTTCCTGGAGAAGAAGCGCCCCCTTTTTTTGCAGGGGGGTTGGTGAAGGCAGCCGGGAAAGGAGACGCGAAATAGGCGCGATGGGATCTCCCGACTTTCTTTCTTTTAAATAAATTTGAAGCAGCCACAGGGGAAGCATAGAATCATAGAAGTCCGACTTCGATCATAGAATTGTAGAGTTAAAAGGGATCCCAAGGGTCATCTAGTCCAACCCACCACAGTGCTAGGGGATTTTATTAGCAGCATTTAGGGGGGGCGGGGTTTAAGCGCGTGAGTGTGGATTTAAATCCCGCTCCCCACATGGTCTGTTTCCTTCCTCTTTGCAGCCCCAAATCCTGGCTGCTGTTACCCCACCTGCACTCAGGACTGTTATTTACTGAAGTTCTCACCCTGGGCCAGCAGGGGGATACTGTAGATACTTATGCAAATGAAGGATCGAAAAGTGACGTTCAGTGACTGGATAGTTTTAGAAAGTTGCAACAGTTACACTGTTCTGGAGCTCTATATAAGCAGGCTGACTGAGCTCCTCAGTTCAGTTCAGTTCTGGCCTCAGAATAAAGAAGAGCTGTTTGAAGAATCGCTGTGTCATCTGATATGTTCGCCCACAACTTAACACTGGCGACGAAGGTGGGATGGATGGACATCAGAGCACAGCCAGATGCAGCCACCCTCTGAACTGAGCTGAATCACTGAGCTGAATCACTGAGTGAAATCACTGAACAGAACCAATTCAGAGCTGACTGTTCTGGCTAGAGCACTGTGTTCCATCCATCGGCCTTCACGCCGGCATCGGAATCATGGCTTCATTTGTGCCTCTACCGCCATTTGCGCCAGCCTCTGAATCATGGGACTCCTACCTCGCTCGGTTCGACTGCTACCTCCAAGCCAACGAGCTGACGCAAGTATCACAGGAGCGGAAGCGGGGCCTATTCCGCCTCTGTGGGCCTGAGGTGTTTGAGATGGCCCGAGCATTGGTTGCGCCTGTAGCAGTCCAGGAAACACCGTGGGACACGATCCAAGAGAAGCTCCGCAACCACTACGCGCCAAAGCCGTCCAAGATTGCTGCCCACCATGCGTTCTACCACTGGAACCAGGCAGAGGGGGAGTCAATCAACAACTACACCACCGCCCTCCGACAAGCTGCAATGCACTGTGAGTTCCGAGACTTAGACGATGCCCTGATGGATCGAATCGTCTGTGGGGTCTGGGACATCCGTTTGCAACGGCGTCTCCTCGCCAGGCCAAACCTCACGCTGCAGAAAGCAATTGAGGAGGCCGTGGCATCGGAAGCTGCCGAACGCTCCGCCCAGGAGATCCGCAAGGCCAGCAGCCCACGTCTTGCTAGGAAGCCAGCTCCAGTGCATCACAAAGAGGCCAGCAGTGATGAGGCATCCTCCAGTGAAGACGAAGACGTGCACCAGACAAAGTGGGAGCGCAGGAAGTTCCATAAGAAGTCCAAAGGCCAATCGGAATGTGCCGGCTGCGGAGGCAACCATTCCCGTGCCAAGTGTCGATTCAGAGATGCCATCTGTCGGAAGTGTTCCAGAAGGGGCCACATTGCTAAGGTCTGCCGATTGGCTCCATCTGACACCCCCCCTTCACCGACTCGCAAGTCCAAGTCTTCACTCCAGTCTGCCAAGGAAAGCTGTTTCGCTCTCACCAATTGCCGCTGCCCTTCTGGAACCACGATTGGCCAAACCGGCTCGCCTACGTGACACAAGCTGAATGTCACAGTTCTCATTGAAGGAGCTCCATGTGTCATGGAGATCGACACCGGGTCTGCCCTGTCCATCGTGTCTTGGAGCACCATCCAAAAACTGGTACCCAGAGTGTCCAAAAGGCAACTCGACTCTCACCGCGTACACCTGAGAGACTACCAGGGAAACAACATTCCCGTGGTAGGCGTTGGCCGGTTCCGGATCGCCTTCAAGGATTTTTCGGGCCTGCTCCAACTGGTGGTGGTCGAAGGTCAGCGGCCAAGCCTCCTAGGGTTAGACTGGTTTGATGCCCTCGGCCTGGAAGCCACCGGCATCAACTGCATCTCTAACGCAGAGACTGAGGATCTGGTCAAAAACTTTGCTGAGGTTTTTGACGGCACTTTGGGGCAATATACAGGTACGCCCATCTCCTTTAGCCTTGATCCACAAGTTGCCCCCATCAAGCTAAAGCCACACCAGGTTCCTTTTGCTCTCAAGGCTAAGGTGGATGAACAACTGGACAAGCTGATCGCCCAAGGAGTTTTGGAGCCGGTTGACCACGCCAAGTTGGAAACCCCCACTGTCATGCCTGTCAAGCCGGACGGGTCGGTGAGAATCTGCGCCGACTACAAGTGCACGATCAACAAGGCACTTCAGCAGCACGCTTACCCGGTTCCTGTTGTTCAACACCTGCTGCATTCCTTGGGTGAGGGTAAGGTCTTTGCTAAGCTGGACCTTGCCCAAGCCTATCAACAACTGCCCGTTGTTGATGCCACCGCTGAAGCCCAGACGATCGTCACCCACCGAGGGGCATTCCGTTGCCGCTGTTTGCAGTTCGGGGTGAGTGTGGCTCCTGGCATCTTCCAAAGCCTTATGGAGCATCTCCTGTAAGGGATTCCGGGCGTGGTATCATATTTTGATGACATCTTGGTGTCCGCAGACTCACACCAGCAGCTCTTCGAGCGCCTCCGCGCCATGCTGACCAGGTTCCAGGAGGCCGGGCTCAAGGTAAAGAGGGAGAAGTGCCAGGTAGCCATTCCACAGGTGGAGTTCCTGGGCTATCTTATCAACGCCTCTGGCCTTCACCCGACCACATCCAAGATCTGCGCTATCCAGCAGGCCCCCATCCCAAAGAACAAGTCGGAGTTGCAGGCGTTCCTGGGACTGCTGAACTTTTATAACATGTTCCTGCCCCACAAAGCCACGGTGGCTGAGCCTCTTCACTGACTCCTCAGCACAAAGACACCTTGGTCCTGGGGTCATCGGGAGACGGCGGCCTTCAACACGGTCAAGGCTCTCCTTTCATCGGACAGTGTGCTGGTACAGTACAGTGAAGCCAGGCCGCTGGTCCTTGCCTGCGATGCCTCACCTTTTGGCATAGGCGCTGTCCTCAGTCACTGTTTTCCAGACAGAAGAGAAGCACTGCTCGCCTACTTTTCCAGGACGCTATCTCCAATGGAACGGAATTACAGCCAGCTCGACAAGGAGGCACTGGCACTTGTGGCTGGAGTGAAGAGGTTCCATGAATACCTCTACGGCAGGACTTTCGACCTTATCACCGACCACAAGCTGCTCCTGGGCCTCCTCGCCGGTGATCGACCAACTCCAGTGGTCCTCTCGCCACGCATGCTGCGATGGACTGTTTTCCTGGCTGCCTACCACTACCAGCTCGTCCATCGCCCAGGGAAATCGATGGGCCATGCCAACGCCCTCAGCCGTTCCCCTCTTCCAGCGTTTGTGGAAGACCCGGCTCCTGCCTCATCGCTCCTCCTGATTGAGGATCTTCTGGCAGCGCCTGTATTGGCTGCCACTGTGGCCTCCACATCTGCCCAGGATCGCACCATCAGCCTTGTGCTCAACTGGGTGTGGAGGGGGTGGCCACAAGGGCCTTTTGCATTGGAGTTCCAGCCGTTCGCAACCAGACAACATGAACTCTCGGCTCATCGCAGCTGTCTGCTGTGGGGAGACCGCGTCATGATTCCACAAAGACTCCGTCAACGCGTCCTTGAGGCTCTGCACGTTGGGCACCCGGGAATCGTCAAAATGAAGGCGTTGGCTTGGTGTTACGTCTGGTGGCCTAACATGGACGATGCCATCACTGCCTGGGTTTCCGCCTGTCAAGTGTACCAAGAATCGAGGCCTGCGCCACCGGCAGCTAAGGGACACACCTGGGAGACGCCCAAGACACCCTGGTCGAGGGTGCACATCGATCTGGCCGGCCCCTTTCGCGGCCGGACCTTTATGGTAGTGGTGGACGCCTATTCCAAGTGGCTGGAGGTGGCCCTGATGCCCTCCACCACTACCCAGGCCGTCATCCGGGTGCTGCGAGGCCTCTTTGCGACGCATGGGTGTCCTGATGTCCTTGTCTCTGACAACGGACCACAGTTCACGTCCGGCACGTTTGAGCGGTATCTTTTGGGACTGGGCATCCGCCATGCCCTAACGGCACCATTTCATTCATCCAGCAATGGGCAAGCAGAGAGAATGGTGTGCTCGGCAAAAGAGGCACTGGCCCGCCTGGACTGGGGAGACTGGCACGAGTGGGTCGCTGAATACTTGTTCGTGCAACACATCACCCCTCATGCAGCCACAGGGCGGAGTCCTGCCGAACTGCTTATGGGACGCCGCCTCAGGTCCCCACTCGACTGGCTGCACCCGGACTTTGCCATGGCTGAACCCCCAGGCTGTGCCAACGCGCCACGGTCATTTGTTCCAGGTCTTTGCGCGGAACTTTGTGGGGGACATTCCTTGGGTGCCAGCTACAATAGTGGGAGTCACTGGACCTCGCTCGTACCAGGTGGCACTAAAAGACGGACTCTTGTGGCGCCGGCACATAGACCAGCTTAGATGCAGGGTTGGGGACTTGGACACTACCGTGATGCCCCCAACTGCGCTCATGGCTCCGGAAGAGACACTTACAGATGGTGAGGCTCCACCTACACCTCTCTCGCAAACTGCCGTGTGGAGCCAAACCAAGCCACTTCAGAGAGTCTGCCAGACTTACCAGACTCAGACCACTGCCGTGCCTGACATTCCGCCAACTCCACTTGCAGAGGTTCCATCCACAGCAGCGGATCCAGGGGACTTGGTTTCAACGCCACCTAAGGTTGCACCGCAGCCTTAGCAAGAATTGGGTGGCCCCCCGGACTTGGCTACCAGTCCCCGGCGGTCTGGCAGATCTTCCAAGCGCCCAACTTATTTAAAGGACTATGTTGTTGGACATGTATCACTGTTGGTGTAAGTATGTGAAATGTAACAGATGCTTTTGTGCCTAATTGAACCATTACGTGTAGTACTGTATATAAGGAAACCATTACGATTGTAACTAACGCTTTATCTCGGTGGGGAGGGGTGTTATGTACTGAAGTTCTCACCCTGGGCCAGCAGGGGGATACTGTAGATAGTTATGCAAATGAAGGACCGAAAAGTGATGTTCAGTGATTGGATAGTTTGTATGCAAATGAAGGATCAAAAAGTGACGTTCAGTGATTGGATAGTTTTAGAAAGTTGCAACAGTTACACTGTTCTGGAGCTCTATATAAGCAGGCTGACTGAGCTCCTCAGTTCAGTTCAGTTCTGGCCTCAGAATAAAGAAGAGCTGTTTGAAGAATCGCTGTGTCATCTGATATGTTCGCCCACAACTTAACAGGGACAGTTTTCACACACAAACACGACTTAAGACAGCAAAAAGATCAGTGCATACATACATCGTGTCGCTTGCAAAGCAGCGCTTGGTTTTGTCAACCCGATTTGGAAGGAAGATGTCTTTGGGATGGTTGGTCTGGGGCTCCGTCACTTCAGCCCCCCTAACCCTAGCCTTGTGCTGCAAAATGGATCCCCACATCAATTTTCTTGATTCCCCCCCCTAAAAACTAGGTGCCCCCTATGGTCCGAAAGACTCAGAAACAAGTTGGTGGTTTCTACCTCAACAGCCTCCGTCAGTTTGGTGACCTATAGATGTTTTGACTGGAGCTTCTGGAACATTCCTGGACACCAGCCATGCTGTCTATGGCTGATGGTACTTGGAGTCCTACAATATCTAGAAGTTGGGGAAGGCTGGCGTTGTAATGTAATGTCACTGACTTTCAGAGTTTGACAGCCCTATAAGAAATTCACTTACAGATCAATCTAGATGAATTGGATTCCTTTCTTTTTAGGTTGGCTTGGAAGAAATCCACCCCCAAGCTGCTTTAGAAGGCAGAGGTGTTTGTTGTTGGCTTGTGGGAGATCAAGCCAAGGCTTTTTGAATGATTTGTGGGTTCCTTTGCCAATATTGGCTTTTGAATTCCAGAGAAGGGCAGCACATGCAAGTTGCCAGGAATCAACAAATGTAAATGAAAGAGCTGTATTTTGATTTCTAGCCAATAAATGAAAAGCATTGACTGAATGTTCAGAGGCTGTGTTGAAAAGCACCACTTGCCACAACCAGTTAAATGATTTCCAAAGTGCCCAGAAGGTAACGGGATCCAAATATAGGCTGAGCAAATTAAGAGATTTTGTCTGATGGGGTCAATCAGTGCCAGAGTAATCCAAGGATGCCAGCAAACTATTTGCCTTGGCTTTTCATCCCCGTCAATTTAAACCAGGCATGGGGACCCTCCAGCTTGTGGGCCAAATGCAGTCTGCCAGGGGTCCTAATTCACCCTGTGTGGCTGTTTTTCTCAAGCCACAACAACCTGCCTCACACTTGACATTATATGACATCAGGTGTCAGGCAGGGAAAGCCACTGGTGTAAAGGAACGAGAAGGAGCCTTGAAGTGTAGCTTCCATTTCTCCACCCATGTGTTAGGCTTGTGTTTGCTGCTTTTAAATCTGGCGCCCAACGCAAGTCATGCCGAGGTTGGCTGCGTGCTAGGGAAGCACCCACCCATTTTAAACCATAGTTACGGTTTGCAGACGGTGTGCATGCTGGTGCACAGGGTGAAAACTGAGGGTGCTTCACTCCCCAGACAAACCATGAGTGGCAAGATAAGAACATTGTTTACAACTTGTGGTCTCTTTGGAGAGAAATAACTCATAAGCCCGAGTTCAGATGCAACACTTGGAGGTGCAGAGGAGAAAAGCACTGTGCACTGGCAGGCTGCGTGTTCAACTTCAAAACTTAGATTTAACTATGGTTTCAACTAGTGTGCGAACCAGGCCTGTATCTAAGCACGTGAGAAATATGCTGATTTATGACCAATCTGCATATTACAAACAAATGTAAGACAATCAGGCTGCGGTCACATGAGCCATCATGCAATGTGAAATCTGGAATATTTTCTGTCCCAAATGAAGTCTATTCAGGCTATGCCAGAGTAAAGTTTGTCCCTGGTCATCTAAAATTTAAAGGTTTCTTTTACTGGCAGTGAATTATTCAGCGTAGCCTTGAAAAAATTCATTCAGCTGCTTACCAGGCATTACTTTAGAGCAGTGTTTCCCAACCTGTGTTCCGCGGCACACTAGTGTGCCGCGAGACGTTGCCTGGTGTGCCGTGGGAGGGAGGCGGGTGAGTCGGGCGGCGAGAGGCGGGGCGGCATCTCCTGCTGGATGCAAATCCAAACATGGCGGGCGCCTCCCTCGCTCCTTTGTAGGCGGACCATTGAGAGAGAAAGAAAAGGAGGCGAAAGAGCGAGAGAAGGCGCCTGCGCGGAAAGAGGAGCGAGCAGTGCGCCTGCGCGCCGCGGCACCCGAGTGCAGTGAAATTCCGTGAAGAGGGGAGGGGGGGCCGGAAAAGAGAGAAAGGAAAGATTTTTCATTTTTAAAAAAAAAAAAAAGGAAGAGGGAAAGAAGAGAAAAAGCGGCAGAAGCTGAGGGGAAGGTTTCCGTGAGGGAGAGAGAGAGAGAAACGCGGGGCTGGCGGGACCCCTCCTCTTCCGCCACGCGTCGCCCGCCACCGCCTCAGAATCTCCTCAGGAGCGGCGGCGGCTGCTCCCCCTCGCCCCCTTCCTCCCCCCCCAGCCCCCTCCCAACCCCCGGACGAGGGACGCGAGGCGGCGCCGCTGAGAGGACGGGAAGGCCCCCGGTGGTGGGGTCGGCTCGAGCAAGGAGGGGCGAGCGCTAGCTGGCTGGCTCTAGACCGGCAAGAGGAGGAGGAGGAGGAGGAGCACGCCGTCGCTTCCACAGCGGCCGCCCCACACTCCCCTCCCCGGGCACCGGCGGGGAGAATGACGGAGCTCCAGTCCGCGCTGCTACTGCGGAGACAGCTGGCAGGTCGGTCCGTCCGTCGGTCGGGGCAAAACACACCACAGCGCAGGCAGAGGCAGGCAAGCCCGTCTCTCCCTGCCCCCCCTCGGACCTGGCCGGCCTGGGGTTTGCACCCCAAACATTCATGTCCACCCCAGCTACACAAGCCACACCTTGCTCTCAGTTCGATCTGTCAAATAACTCACCTATCATTCACATAAAGAACCTAGTCTATCCTCAAACGTCAGAATGTACCTCCTCTCTAGCTTCCCCCACTTCATCTAGGCACTTTCAGCCCTTACTTAACCCACCCCAGCCTGCTTACTCTTCCTTCATTTGCTATAAAAACTAAATACAGAGAGAGACTGAGAGCTGTTGACGAAGAGCTACGTGTGTGTCTTTCTTCGATTCCAGCCAGAATATCAGCTTTGTGTTCAGCCAAACAGGCCCAGGTTGCGCACTGAATAAAGTATTTATAATTTTCATATTTCTGTTTACTTACTATTTCATATAAAGTAATTATAAAATACTTTCTTTGTGTTTATTTGATTCCTATTAAAGAGAGTTACTTTATATATAGTCAATATAGGCACAGAGTTAATTTTTTTAAACATTTTCTAATGGTGGTGTGCCTCGAGATTTTTTTCATGAAACAAGTGTGCCTTTGCCCAAAAAGGTTGGGAAACACTGCTTTAGAGAAACATATTTTACAGACACTTCTTTTTAATGAAATAAGTACCTCCAAAATACAGATTAGTATGATGGTCAGCATCCCCCAATCCAAATAAAATTTTTGAGGACCACATTCTTTGGGCTTTAACATATCTTCCACATCACTTCAGTTCCTAAATGAAGTGGAACTTAAGGGTAAAACAGTTCAATATGCTTGACTTGCAGGGGGTGACAATTTCCTTACTACCCTTTCTTTTTGCACCATGTCAGAAAAAGTAGGGGAAATGCCTGCTCTGCATCCCCCCCCCCAGCTTTAAGACAAGGCTATAGACTTCTAGAGATGCAGACTACACAGCCTTTTTATTTCAAGCACCATAAAAGGGAATAGTTTTTCAGATTTAAAAAAAACCCCACAAGAACAAGCCAACAGAAAGTTTCAAGTATGATTTGCTCACCCCCCCCCCCAAAAAAGGCCTGGGGTGTTATGTGCAAAGAGCAAAGGCTGCACACAATTTAGCTATTCAAAGCTCTAAATGGGGGTATCTCTGCTTCCTGGATTTATTAAAACCCCCTACAAAGACAGAAAATTAAACATTTAACCTATTACGTCCCCTCTCTGCTAGAGAAATCATTACAAATTAGCTGGAGAGGAGTCTGATTTCCAGACACTTGTTTTTTTTTGTAGGCAGTCCATAATTTTATTTTCCAGACTGGGTCAATAAAGAACAATCTCTGTGCGCACAGCTGAATTGATTTTACTGAGTCTCAACGGCCCTTGGTTTAAGGGTGTGTGTTTCTTAAAAACACATCCAATGCACAAGTTATGGGTTGCTCTTTTTAAAAAGCACAGTATGGGCCTCAAACACTCAGGATAATCCAGCCAGAACAATTCAACACCTGTTGTTTCTCCTGATATATCCATGGCAGTCATACACAAAGCGGTTGTATTTTTCCTAACTTCAATTACAAATCCGCTCTGAAAGTCTTCATCACCACCCCCTTTTTAGCAGTTCTTGTGAGTGTGCTAGTCATAAAAATGGTGGGATACACTTCTGTGGAAGCTCTTTTGTTGTATGAGAACATCATTTTAGATGCAAAACCTACATAAAACTTAACCTTGCAGCCCTTTTATGCTGCTGCAGACGTGACAATTTTCTCTTGGTGCTCTTGACTCTGCTCCTAACCCACTTCTTTCATTATAGACATAGATATTAAAAGTCATGCTAACGAACTGGCGTTTCTATCTGCTCCTCTCCATCCTGTATTGGTCATAAAGACAAAACTGTTTGGTTGAAATAGAGGATGGATGACACATCAGGTAAAAAGCTGGTTTCTTTTATCAAAAGGAGAGGCAGAATTTATGTAAACGATGAGCGTAACAGAGCAAGGGACTCGGCTATACAGCTGCAAATGTGATGTTTTAAGTGCATTATACAAATGTGACACTAGATGGTAATGGTGAGCTTATGGCAAATTTGCTATATTTCCCCAAACCCTTAAAAAGCAAGCAAACATTTGCACAGCGTTTTTTGTGACCATGTTTTTCATTGCTTTAGGTGTAGTCCTAGCTGCACCACTGCTTGGGCTGCAATATTCCCTAAAGCTTATGAAATAAAATTATGAAATAAAATAAAATAAAAATATATTAGGTGTCAAAGTGGACTGAAGAGGACAAAAGTATATGACAGTTAGAAATTACAGTACAGAACCACCTGAATAAGCAACACACACAATGATTTACGACCCATTGAGAAAACTATTGTTTATTTAGAAAAAAAGGTTACACTGGTAGAATTTCAGATAAAAAAATTGTTTTACTTTTCTTAGAAATGTCATTGTGAAACGTTTTTTTTTTTCCTGACTAAAGTCCAGCGATACAAAGCTCCTGTAGCTGTAATATGAAAACCTAATTCTTAAATTTCTGTTTGGAATGAAGTATTTCCCAATTTCTAGAAACATTATGACAAACATATAAGGTGTAGCGGGGAACAATAAGTGAGGGTTCCTTTTTTTTTCTTTTTCAACTGGTGAAATGCTGTGCACATAATATACAAATAATTCTTAAGCACCGCACAAAAACAATGCTCCCACTTGGTTTTAGTTATTGATATT